TGGAATATGAATAAGTTCATTTCTGAAAATGTCCCAATTTACATTAATTTTTGACTTCTGCAGAGGAGGGCAAAATCCATAAAAATCAAATTTAACTGGGTAGTGGTCTGAAGATAACTGCTTTACTTCCAGGTAGGGTGTAGTGTTTACATTCTTAAGGATAAGTATATCCAAAATTGATGCTCTGCCTTCATGGTGATATCGCGTCGGGACATCTGGAGCGATAACTCTGATTTCATTGTTTGAAGTGTAACTGTTTAAGATGTTACCATTTCTATTATTAATATTGCAGTTCCAATTTCTGTTTTCTTTTTTGCGTTGAGATACCCCGCTATAACGGTAGGGTAGCAAAAGCTTGTTAAGTTATTTAAATCATTATTATTCAAAATACATCTTGGAGTGTTGTACACAGAAATGAAAAGGTTCATTGAAACCAGTATAAATAAGCGCTGCAGAGTTTTCAATATTTCTGGTGTTGTTTATGTTAAAGCAAGTATGTTTGATGTGATTTTTAATGATGAGTGGTGTCCCGCCACCACGGTTGTGCTGCCTGTCATTTCTGATAATACTATAGCCTGGAATTCGAAATCTATGGCTGGGAATGAGATGCGTTTCATTAAGCATCATGACGTCGATGTTGTGAAAGTTCAAGTAATTGATGAATTCCTGTTTCTGCTTAAGGATGCTGCTAGCATTAAAGAAGGAAACTTTCGGTAGATGCAATCAGATTTGGGTTGTAATTATTGGTCTTAGAATTCATAATTTAAGTTTGTGAAATATTCGAAAGCAGTCATCCCGACTTCTAATTTATCCATAATAGTTTTTGCTGCCTTGAAATTAATAAAAAATAATTTAATTTGCATGAATTGTGTTTTTATCCAGTCCAAAAAATTAGGTTCTTTGCTATTGGTGTTTGACCATGCAGGCGTGTGGTCTTCTGGGAGCTTCTGTGAATTATTACTTGGTAACTTTGGAAAATCTTCAGCGTTTAATTGAAATTTTGATTTTTTTTAAATTCTTTTCTTGTTCTTTACGTACTTTTTTTTCCTCAATTCTTCTTTTAATGTTTTCGAGGTTTTTACAACAACCACGATATGAAGAAACATGATTCTGTCCGCAAAGGACACAGATTGGGGGTTCTTTTTCCTTACTAGTCTTGCAGAGATATGTTTCGTGTGTTTAAGCACACTTTAAACATTGTGGGGTATAGTGGCACAGGTCCCAAGTGTGCCCATATCGTTGATATTTATAGCTTTGCATGGGACCTGGCCTCGATTTATAATTTGCCATAGCTATATCCAATTCTCTCAGCTTTTTTAAGCCAAATATCTTTTTGCCTGCTTCAATTCTTTTAACTTCTGCCACAAACACTGGTAATTTAATTTTTTAGCCTTCACACATAGTGGGGACTTGTCTTATTTTTAGTATAGGAATACCTAGATCTTTGATTGCGTTTTGTAGAATCTCTATGCTAGCGATCGCAGGAAGTCGTTTTATGACAGCCTTAATTGGTTTTTAAGAATTCATCTGGAATGTATGGAATGGCACACTGTGTTTTTTGAGGAATTCTGTAACTATTCTATAGTGATCTCTGTCAAATACATGAATTGTGAGTCTTCCTCCTTTGAGATTTCTCACATAATTTTTAATACTCATATCCTCAATCAAGCTTGTCCCGATTTCCTTGGAAGCCCGCTATTACTTTTGGGGGGGATGTGTTCCGCAGTCTTTTTTGGTAATTCAAAAGGAGCTTCATTAGGTTCTTTGGTGTCTATATTTACCTCATTATTTAATTCTTCAAATTCATTGCTTTGGGAGGGATATTTTATTTCTTCGACAGAATGACTTCTTTTGTGGGTTTTTCTGGGGGAAACAAATCCTTCAGAGTCAGTAGTGTTCTTTTTTTGGGTTTTCCAGCTCGTGGTTCTTTCTAACATTCTAGAAGAATCATTTTTAGTTGGTGGTGCTTTTTCTTTAGCGGTAGCTAATGTGTTTAATTCGTTATTCATTGCACTAAAATTGTAATTTTTCAACTTCAAGATATGGTTAAAAAGTTGTAATTGCTTTTCTAAATCTTTAAATCTAGGATCTTCGACTGGACATTTAGCATCCACTCATTCCTTAAGCCTTAGTTGTACTTGATTTCTAGTCATTTCAGTTTTTCCTAAGCTAAGATCACCATTATTTTTCTCTCATATCTGCTCTAAGAACTTAATTGCCTCTGCATCCTTTAGTGCAGCTTACGCTGCCATTGTCATTAAATGCTGCTATCTACTGCTGCTAACTAGCCTTGGCCATGTAATGCATACCGAGATAACAGAAGAAAAGATCTTACCCAAATTCAAGTTGCTCGAGAGTACAGAATCCACCTCTGGAACTGCTAAATCGCCCAAGCTACAAAACCCGACCTAGTCTCCTAGAGCTCAGTTGAGTCAATGGAATGAACCGGGATGAGGATGCCAACATTACCTACCATTGCATCTCCAATTAAGAATGTCTCATGCCAGTGTCCAGTGTGTCTTAAATGCCGAGTCCTTCCACACTTTTTGTCTTCAAATGATTCAGTTTCTATTCCCCAATGACCATCCTGAACGTGTGCATTTTATACAATGGTTTGTGAAGAAAGTGCCCATGATGCTATTTTTCCAGCTTATGTGTTGTTTATGGATGAGCCCACATTCAATAGGGATGGCATATTCAATCACCACAGTCAGCATTTATGGACTCAAGAAAACCACCATGGTATGCAGCACCACGCGGCACAACAACGCTTTAAAGTTAATGTGTGGGCAGATTTGGTCTGTGACTACTTTGTTGGGCCATACCTTTTACCATCCAGGCTGAATGCCATGAGTTATCTCATCTTTCTGGAGCAGGTTCTTCCCGACTTTCTTGATGATATTGCACCAAATGTGAGTCACAACATGTAGTTCCAACATGATGGAGTACCTGCTCAGTTGGAACTGGATGTTCATAGCCATTTGAACAGGTCATTCTTTCCTGAATCGATGGATTGGACATGGTAAACCAGTTCCCTGGCCCCCACACTCACTAGATATTTATCCGGCCTTTATTTCTTTTTGTGGGGAGTGTATTAAAAGTGTCATTTATCACAATCCTGTTGTGTGTGAAATGGATCTCGTGGCAAGAATCAACTATGCATCTGCTACAATCAAAGAAATTCCCGGTGTGTTTGAACATGTCTGGCAGTGAATGGTCCATCGGTGTGAGGCATGTTTGATGTCTAATGGTACAAACTTCAAGCGTCTGTTGTAACATAGGTGTTGTACACCATTTGTATTCATGTTTAAAAAATGTTTCAAATTAATCACTCTCTTGTTTCCTTTCCCATCTTTTACCTTTGCTACCACTTAACCCTGACATTTCTGGGCATGAGTTCCTATGCAATTCTTAATCCTTATGATGTGTCCCACCTTCTTCAGCGCAGAAGTTTGTCGCAACATTTATGAGACACCCTGTATATAATAATATTGTTAATAATGTGGAACACATACAGGTGTGGTAATATTCATAGACGGTTGAACTTTACTTCTTTATAAACCATTTTTGATGGAGAGAGAGCTAAAATTGATGCAAAAAAGCATACCTTTACTTTGATACTTTTACATTTTGGGGTGGTGTGGGGATTAACAGCATACAGCAATCTTGCAAGCTAGAGAAATTAGAATCAATATGAAGATCATACCTCATTGGTATGGATTCAGATTCAGTCCTGTTGTCTAATTTAAGTTTCAAATGCGAAATTTGAATATTATGATTGGCTGAAGCATTATTTAAGTGCCTGCATCATTAGCATTATATAAGAACCATATGGCATGAATTAATTTTGGAATGATATAGTTCAGGAAGATATAATAAGAATTTCCTTTTTTAGAACTAATAGGAGAAATAGTCGAATTGAAAAAGGAGTGTTAAAGAGACTGTTAAAAATTAAAATTAAGAATTTTATCTTACCTAGTTTTTTAATTTACATGTACGAAATGTTATTATCTATCACATAAATATTGAAGAAATTGCTTGTGTGTATGCAGAGGTGTATAGAGTTCCAGAAAGTACTTGTGAAAATTTTCATTCTCTTGCTAAAGCTGATTTCTCTATCATCCTACTGTCACTATAATAAGAATATACCAAAATAAATAAATAAATAAATATCAGTGAGCAAGCAGTGCATTATAAATTCTGATGATAATGGAGTAATCCATAGAAAGAAAGGCTCATAGAATGTTTTAAAAATTTTGGAGGATTTTCTATTTTTTTAATTTACGAATTCAAAATATTGCTTATGATATGAAACTATGCTTGGCACTAGTTTTTTATCAATTAGGGAGATAAAATTTTTATTCTTAAGTCTTATCATTAAGTAATATTTAACTTTTTGGGTAGAATTTCATATCTCATATAGGAAGCTTTCTAAATGTATTTTCCTCCTTTCATATCACATCTAAGATATCATATTAGAAGTTTAGCTAGGAAAATATATCTCCCCTCACCCCCCCAAAAAAATATTAACTTCAGATCAATAGGTCTTTGTAGCGTAGTGGGAGTTTACTTGGTAGCACTGTTTAATTTGTTTCTTTCCATGTAGCCTATATTTTTTTCCTTTGTTGTTAACTCTTCAAACATCATTGTGCCAAAACTGTTAAATGAGTTATCATATAAATTTTTGTTTTTATTATCTTGTGTTTTATTACTTTTCTGAAATGTGCATTGTATCTACATGTTCACTATTAAAAGCACTGTTAAAAGTAGAAAAAATTATAATGAACATTTTAAAAATAAGCAGAACATAATAAAAGATTTCCTTATTTTCAGCAAATCTGAAAAAAATGTTCAGTGCATATTTCTGTCTTTCATTTTTAAAAACAAAGTTTCATTTTACTGTTTTTATTACAAGTTGGTTAAATTTTAATTGTGGTCCTTTTTTTTTTTTTTTTTTTTTTTTTTTTTTTACTAAAAATTATGGTTCTTATTCTTTTCAGATTTGTGCTTGATAATGAAGCGTAAAAAAAGCCCATTACAGCACCGCAGAGGTGGCACTTCAACTGACAGTAGTGACTCATCCAAACTGAACACTCAGCAGACAGGCAATGTAATGATGTCTAGTCCAGCTGTTCTCCATCCACCTACATTTCATGTCACTGCTTCACCCTCATTATTGGCTGCTGCTTCTCATCCTGCTGTTAATAATTCTGGTGATGAGTGGGGAAATGTTGAAGACACTGCAGAAGCAGTCAGTAGAATTTCGTTTATTTGCATTTTGATATGTAATTGAAATCTTTAGCTAGTATTGTGTTAGACTATGCACTGCAAATGTGTGTGATCCATTTTGAAGTTTTGCTCTAGGCGTTTAAAATTTCAGTTTACAAAGTATGATAAGAAAAAAAAAATACAAATTCGAAAGAATGTAGATTTATATTTTGTGCAGTTTGTTAAATTCTATGGGTTATCTGCAGGTAAAATACAAATAATTGGAAATAATCTTTGCATTTATTTGTAAAAAATAAGTCCTTTTTTCCCCTTTTTTAAATTTTAAAAACAGCACAAAGAGTTTGTTTCAGTGTATTACTTTATATACTGCATCAACCACTTTTCAATTTCAGTAGTGTCTAAATTTTTTATGTATATGTGTACCAGTATTTCTGTTTTTTGTATAACTCAGTACTGTTAGTTTGTTAAGTGTTTAGAAACTTTTGATATAAGTGTACAATTCTAGCTGAACCTCCTGAATTCATAAAGTGGACCTTTTCACAAGAATGAATAGTTTCTATGATCGATATTGTTTCTGCATGCAATCCAAGGTCATAAATAAAGTCATTCTTTCATTTGTAATAGTCTGCATTGCCTTTATTCATATGGTCTACATCTAGCTAATATAAGGTACACTGGACATTGAAGACCTGCACTTTTCTGTTTGAAATTTGTTAAAGTTTGTTAGTAATAAGAATCTTCAAATTTAAAGTATGTTAACTTAACGAGAAATTTTGCATTATTATTAATTCAAGTATGGACAAAACTGTACACTACTTTTCAGTTTTAGTATTTAAATTTTTTATATCATTGGAACAATATATTAGATTTTGGCTGAAATTATAAACCAAAATTCAGGTAAAATGATATTTGAAGCTTTGACCAGATTTTCGTGAAAAAATACAGTGCAATATAATCCAAAACTTCACAAATTTGGTATTTAAAACTCATATGCATATGCAATCATGACTGAAAACAGCATACTAGATTTTGATTATATGTGATAAACCAGAAATGGTACTTTATGTGGAATTCTTAACATATTTTCATATAAAAATATCCAGTTGCTGTAATAAGAGTGTAATCTGAAATAATGCTGCATGTATTGATATTTATTTATATCAAGCCATAGAAGAAAATGATTTTTATAACTGCATTTCATTTGCAGAACTTCTAAACTTCTAAAATATCCAGTTGCTGTAATAAGAGTGTAATCTGAAATAATGCTGCATGTATTGATATTTATTTATATCAAGCCATAGAAGAAAATGATTTTTATAACTGTTTCATTTGCAGAACTTCTAAACTTTTGTAATGAGATATACATACAGATCAAAATGAATTTCAATTTCCTGATACTATAGAAATAGCATACAAGGAATTATGGTATTTGGTTCAAAGTATTTATTTTAAATATATTATAAAAACTTAATATTCTTTAATTAAAACACCAATTAAATAATATGTTATTTAACTGGCCAATAAAATACAACTTCTAATAGAAAGAAATAAAAAGGCAAACTTTTGATTATATTGATATAAATTTTTGAAAAACCAGTTTTTACACATGGCTAATTGTACTTAATAAAATATAATATAAAATTTCATATTACAGACCTTTATTTATATTGAAACAAAGATTAGATTTTGTTTATAAATGATGAACTAGAAGGATACTTTACTTAAAGCTCATTAATATTTAAAACATGGAATTGTTGAGAGATTATGTGCTGGTTATATTAGATTTTTTTCCCTTATGACTATGAAATAATAGGCAGTAAGCTGAGGCACCATTAAGGACCATTTCCATTACTGCATTGCGGACGTGTTGCGTATGCATTTCTCCAATCAGCGAACGAACTCACTTTGATTGATATCTGTCATTCATTTACAGATGACAGACCACAAAGAGTCAAACCATGTTCAACTTCTATCCGTATGTCTGCGAAAGTGTTGGGGTCATGTGGTAAAAAAGGTACAGTTAGGTGCTGTCACCAGAAAATAATGATGGCAGAAGTAGCGATTAAGGAAAGAATATTTTGCTAAAAGAATGTTTGTTCCTGGATTTACGTTATAGCGAGAAATCTACATACTGAAAAAGACAGGAATCTACTGAATTTTGTTAAAAAAAAAGAAAACTGCAACTACAGTATTATTTTGCATACAGCAGTGATAATTGTCAAGAAAATCAGGTATAAAAAGTATAATTCAAGTCCATGAAATAGCAAAATTTGTCATGACAATTATTTCCCTGTTCTAGTTCTGCATACACATTTATTTTAAATGAAAATGAACATCTGATTATCATTAGAAGTTTTTTTCTTTTAAAAAAGGTAAAAAACTTCACAATTTGATTTATAAATTAAATTTGATAGTCTTTTAAAATATTCTGCATAAAAAGTATGTTAAATTTGTATTTCTCTATTTATAAATATACTTTTTTGGCTACTGTATATTTTGTAAGCACATCTTTCATTTAGAATATATTTTTAACAGTCCATCTAACTTTCATCAAAACACCACATTAAAATTATGTTTTTGCAAGAAATGTCCTAACAATTTAAAGCTGTCCTAACAATTTAAAGCTTAGCTGAAAAACAAACTCAGGTGACTCCCAAATTTATTTTGAAAGTAACTCGAAATAAAACTCACGAATTTATTTTGAAAGTAACAACATAATAGGGATTTAAAGCATACTGCCTGTGTGGGTATATATATATATATATATATATAAGTTTTCATTTCACTTTTATGTGAAGGTGACATGTGCAATGACTTTGGGATGTTACGAACTTTAACCTTTCGCTACTGATTAACATGAAACAGTATTAATGCCCTAAACATTTTTTAAAACTTTCATATTGCTTTAAAATTCAGTCCTGTTTATTTGAAGCACAAGAATTATTTAATTAAATATTTCTGTTTTCTTTACTTTATGTATAAAGAGAAAAATGCTTAGCTTTGTAACTTCCTCTGTAAAAAGAGATATAAATCTAAAATTTATAAATTAAAAATAATACTTTATGGATTCTGCATAAAATATAACTGCGTATAGTGCATTTTAAAACAAACGAAATTTCTAATAAATTATCCAGCTATGGCACTGAAGAAATTGATATTAAAATTTCATATATTATCTGTTGATTCCATAGTCTATGATTTCTGATTCCATAGTCTATGATTTCTCACAAAGTTTGGGCATGTTTTAAAAATATACAATATGACATGGCAGTTGGTCGTATACAAGCATAGCAAATTTTGCGTAAATATTGTGAACCTTTCTTTGCAGTTGTTCTGTATTTTTAAAGAACCAGCTGTTTTTAAATGTGTTTAACTTTTTTATTTGTTTTGCACTTACAGTACATTTTAGTTTTAATTATATATTATTTCATAATAAATGTTTAAGGTTTCTAGAAATGCAAAGAAATTTTTAAAAATTATTTCAGCTATGCAATTAGAGATATTCATAATGTGCATTATAATCTGATTTGTCTAAAAATTGCTAACATGCTTTACTTGCTCAGTTCATAAGTAAAATAAAAATTTTCAATAAAATCGAATTAAAGTGTCTTAAGTGTCTGAATCCCGTAAGTTAAATTCAGAGACGCCTGGTGGCAATAAATGCAACTGATCACCAAACTTCCGTAAGCGCAAATCCAATAAAGCAGTGTAAATGGTCGTCTATCTGCGTATGCTTTTCTTCCAGTGACGTTATGCATTCGCAACACGCTAATAGAAATGGGCTTTATGCTTCATTGTCTGCTACTCAAAAGAGCTTGGACAGTTATTACAAAAATTGCCACTGGTAGACAGTTTGGAACTGCTCATCTGATCATTAAGCATTCAGCTCTGATTCCATAGTCTATAACAGGTTTATTTCTGTCTAACAACTGTTTGCGATAATAGAGAATCTGGCAAATGATTTATTTCTTCTTTAAAATATTTCCCAAAGGAACTTCTAATAAACACAGACACACCTTTTTTGCTATTTATATGCATGAAATAGTATTCTAAATCCATGTACTTAGAGTTTAAAAATCGTTGTTTTAAAAATAAATATTATTACCTTTCCATTAAGTATATATATCATAAATTTTTTCATTTATACCTTGTGTAAACTTTATTTTATATCCTTATTATTTATTTTTACAAGAGGGGGATAAATGTTTGTTCCTTAACTTTTGGAGGGCTATGTGTATGATACATAGCACTATAGTATAGCTGCCAGCTCTACCAGTTTTTTGTTATATCTCCTGGTTTTCAAATAGATTGCTGAATCACCGGATTTTTAATTTTTAGTCTTCCCAACAAGAAATGAAATTTAAATTGTGAAAAATTCCGTTATTCCTCCCGTAATCATTTTCAGCATAATTTTTCTTATTAAATGTTATTTGATTAGAATTGTCTTAATCCATTTACATGTTTATTGTACCTTTTATGAAGATTCAACCCATGTCTAATCACTTAATATTTGCGCTTGTTTTACATCAATATGTGGTACATTACTAAGTTTATCCCCATAACATTATATACATTAATTATAAATTTTATTTTCATCAAATTTAAAAGTACTCTAATAAATAAAAGCTTTCCCTTCTTACTTAGGAGTTTCTCAGTATATAGGTGTTAGAAAATTACAAAAACGGATTAACCAAAGAACATAAAATTTGGAATATCTAATTAAATATTGATTAATTATAGATAACAAAGTAATAAATTTAGAACTAATACAACAAAGACATAAGAGAAATGAAATATAAAACCTGTACAGTCTCTCAATAAAAATATAAAATCTCTCAATATCTGAATAAAAATGTAAAATGACCCTATCAACTCTGTATTTAAACCAGAAGAAACCCCTAAAACAATGGAAATACAAAAACATATAAAAAAGAAAATTAAGAAGAACACAATCAAAATCTGATTCAATGTTATCAAGAGGAGGTCGATCTGAATCCAAATGAATCAACTTCCTAGGAAAACTTCTGCTGTTCACCCAAAGTTAGCTGATGAAATATTTAAAATTATTTAATCATTATAGTTCATCAAAAAATTTCAAATGCCTGTTCTACACAGCATTCTCCAATCAATAATACATAATAGAAAGAGATGCAGTTCTTCTTTATGAAAAGCTGATTCGTCTGCCCAACAATACTTTTTGGAGGGATTATGACACCAACACAGAGAGAAATCTTAAAAAACTCAAAAATGGTTTATACAGTATTCTTATTCTGCAGCCACTAACATGAATATCCAACTCAATCCTCAGCCTGTTTGCTCTTTGGGATATGGAGAGATCTCGGTGTGTCTGAAGCTGGATATGCAGTTTAATGAGTCATATGAGCAAACAAGAGGTTTGTGCCATTGCTCTGTCTACTGTTCAAAATAAATACCCTAGAGACAAATGGTTACATGTTTACACAGATGAATCAATGCTTAATGATGAAGACAGAGCACGAGCCGGTGTGTGTTGGGATCTTTTCTCATGCTATGCACCAATAGGTGCTCATTCCACCCATTATGATGGCGAGATCGAGGCTTAAATCGCATTAAAGCAACTGGCTATCTGCCCCTCGTCATTCTGCTGAGCAGTGATTTTGTCAGGCTCCCTGTCTGCTCTTCAATTTCTTGCAAATAGACAATACACAGATAATACCTGTGTACTGGAGTGCAGAGAGTTCTCAACATCAATCTCTGTTTCTTTCCAGTGGATCCCAGCTCACTGCAAGATTTCTTAGAAAATGGCTGTTGACTTTTTGGGCCAGAAAGTATGCAAAGGTCCTCCAGAGACCTTTAAAAAGGCTCTCATTTCATTCATTCAAACTCCTGATAAAAAGAAGATATGCCTCCAGGATAAAGCAGAGAGCACTGTATGACTCTGGTAGTAAGCCATGGGCCTCACTACTTGAGGATACACAGTTGATCCCAGATTTTCTTAGAAGTACAGCTGTGGCACTTTTCCATCTTACTAGAGGCCATGACTGTTTGCTCGCATACTTGCATTGGCTTGGGTTTTGTGACTCTGCCTTATGTCCTCTGTGCTATCGAGGTAAGAAAGGAAGGAGTAGCCAACCAGCACTAGAAGTGAAGCACTGCTTCGAAGCTTCGGTCACCAGATGGAGTGTTCTTTGTTTACATTCAGAAGCTCTCTTGACAGTGTTCTAATAGTATTTCGACACACGACAGTTCCATACAAATCGAAAAAGGGACACTTTCGCATGAAAGAAACATTCATAGTGTGATGGATAATAGCAATTTGTATAGTTTTGTGACATTTACGCAAAAATCACATCTTGGTTATTTTTCGATAACTAACAACAGCGATTTTGATTATGAATTTGTTTTATAAAATTCTAAGCTGTTGAACTACAAAAATATAAATTTTAACAAAAATGTTATGCTTAAAGAATGAAAAATACCCTACGGTACCTTTAAAATTGTATACGTCTTTCGATACCCTTGAGATAGTATTCGCTACTTTTATTTTATGTTTTACACGCCAAAATGTTTTAAATAAAATAAATTTTTTTCACATCCATATATTATTGTAACATGTACCTTTTAAAATTTTTTAGAGGAGAGGCTTTACTGCTGCTCATTTTAAACTCATAATTTTAATTTTATATATCTAAAAAATAATCCCTTTGAGCTTACACGTTTTACTTATTTGTGCAAATTAAAAATAAAATATAGTGAATGCACAGAAATTAAAGATTTGCACATGCCGGAAATGAAAAATATGAAATATGTATGGGTATTTATGCATGTGCTTGCAAAAAGCATGTATCTGCCTTTAACAAAATACATAAATATTCATTAAATTATTTATAAATGTATTTGAAATGAAGAATTTATTCATTTATAAACAACTGTGAAGAAATCTAATTATTAAATGCATCTAATTTATAATGATTGTAAATGTTATCTAAATATATAATAACCTTAATATTGATTTGTAAACATAAATTGAAATCCTGTTGACAAATACGTTATAAAACTATTTAAGCAAGAATTGTTCATACTGGAATGCAATCTGTTAAAAGGCATTGTAAAACAAATGCTATGAGATGCGCACTTAAGAAAGTAATAAAGAGTTTTGGAATATGTATTGTTGAAATTAATGGTAAAAAAAAAATCTGATAAGTATAATTAAAAGAATTATTCCCCTTACATTTTATAATAACTCAGTTACAAGTTTTAAATAATACTTAAAAAAAAATCCTTATTTTATTGCCTTTCAGAAATGTTCAGAGAAAGTTAAGTACTATTTAAAGTATTTCGCTAATTTCTAATAATTCTCTAATTTAAAATGAACCAAATAGAGCATTAATTATAAATTGACTTATATTTTTCGATTTAAAAGATGCCTCAGAAGCCAAAAAATCATGTCATATTTAAGAAAGTATTTTAGGAAGAAGCTCTATAAATAGAAAAGAAATAATGCATAATTTTAATATTAATAATACCATAAACTTTGATCTTAATTTTTGTACCTTAACCGAATAAAATCAAATTACCTTAATTTTTTTTAATGTAATTAGCGAAAACTTGTGAAAATATTTCACTCAAATTAAACCATTCTGAGAAAACTGTTCTGCGAAACATATAGCATTTAATTCCGTTCAGAATGAAATGTTGTTTAAAAATATGTTGTTTTCATATACTTAGGACTCTGAAGTGTTGTAGAAAAAGAAAATATATACATTTATATGTATATTTACGACGTAATTACAAAATATTTACATTCAATCGCATCAAAACCCATTGAACTTAATGGTAAACGACCCAATGTTTTGGTCACCACGTAGGGATCGCCAGTGCTTCAGAGCAAGGTACGGGAGAAACCTGTTTAGGGCCACTCCATCTTACTTCCTATCTCCATGCTCTGTGCAGACAACATCAAAATTTTTGACGCTACTCATCTTGATTCGTGCTCTGCACTTGTGCTTTTAAATTGTAAATTTCAGAAATATTGGAAGGCTAGAGATCTAATGGCATCACAGCCAATCTTTTGGGCATTTATAATAGATAAATAAATAATACATAAAAATTTTTCATTTCAGATTTAAGTGAAATAAATGTAATAAATTCAGTTTGCTTAATAAAGCAAAAATTAATATAAATAATTACTAATATCAAAATTGAAAATTTACTAGAACTAAGAATTCAAGTAATATTTAAACAAAGAATGAGAACTTACTGTTTTCAGAATAAAAGAAACTGAATCAAAATGGGGAAAGAGATGCCTAGGATTGCCTAATTTGGCACACAATAAAAAATGGTGAAGGAAATTTTTTAAATTTTCTAACAAGTGAACTTACGGTAAGATTTTTTAGAAAAAATTATATTTTAGTTAGAAACCATTAAAGTAATGCAAGAAAGAAGAGGTAGGTAAGGACAAATGTTAGAAAAGCAGAATAAATTTTCACACCATGGGCTTATCATGACTTAGAATAGAGTAAGCCCTCAGTTAATCAAAATATAGTCAGGAAAAATAGTACAATAACTGCATATTTACGAAATAAAAGTATAAATCCCTTTAATTCATCCTTCTTTATCCTTTTCTTATTTGAGCTTTCAGATAAGAAATTCATCACCTTAAACAAAATAATAGGATGTTGATTACTCTAGCTTTTTTTAAGTTGACTGTTTATGAAGATCAAGAAATTTTACTTCCTTTAGATTACAAATACTTAGGTCCAGCTGATCTATAATTGAGCATATTTTATTATTTATCCTAGGAAGCTGCTGCATCTAGTGGAAGTTTGCCATCTTTGGGTAGTAATGAAGCAATTCATTTTTGTGGATTGGATGAAATTGACTGTGGTTCACCGCACACTCCAGATTTACAGAGAACTAAAGCAGCTATAGAACACATACAACAGAAAATTTTTCGCACCAAAGAACTTATAAAAGCTGAACAGACTGCAAGAGATGGTAATCATAAAAAAACTTTTGCTTCTTTACATCTAAAACAATAAATGTTAATTTTTAATAAACTTTTCTATATAAATGCTATTTAAAATGTATGCAGAACAAAAATCATTGTAATTCTGAAAAATCCCTGCAAAAGGCATTGCTAATTACACTTTTATTAAATGAACAAACTTTTTATTTATTTGTTAAGAATAGGGTATTTATATTTTAAAGGTACAAAAATTATAAATTTTGTAACTGGTGTGTAATTTTGGAATTCTACAAGCATATATGCAAAAAGGTCAGTAAAGATAATTTTCTTGTCTCACGGTGTTTATGTTATTTAATGAAGTGAAGTACACTGCGCAAAAAAAAGGGGGGACAGTTCTGTATCTCCCATTCTACTGGGCCAATTGACGAAATTCAAATTGCATTTTTCATGTCTCGAAAGCATGGCTTAGAATATGTATTAGCTTTATATATAGCATTGTTCAAATATTCATATTTTTACACGAAATCGGACTTTTTCTGAAATGACATGCCAATTTTTTTCCATATTTCGATTCTACGACTCAAATTATTATATTTTACAAAACTTCCAAGTTTTGTAAAAATCGCAAGAGTAGTGTTTAAAGAATAAGCTCTCAAAATGTTAGCGCCTCAATGTTAATTCAGTTTGGTATGTATTTATTAATAGCTCTTTTTTTTTTTTTTTTGTGAAACTTATCTGATTCTTTCCTACACAGTTTGAAATTTGGTTCATTTCAAATAAAATTTACCTTTTTTTTATTTACTTTCAAATAATTTTTTAAAATTTTTTGAAAAAAAATTTGAATTATAACCTATAAAATTTTTGCAATCATTTTAAAGTAGTTGTGTTTCTAAGCATACCTGCGAAAAATTAGAGCTTTTTATTCGAAATTCTTGAAGATATATGGGAATTTATATATTGGCGTATTTGTTGAAATCGATAATAACGAAAATATGGTTTATGCACTTGTTAAAATTATTTGTAAGTAGAAATGATGTGACTTTTTTCCCACTCATCCACAATGTAAAAAGGGAAGAATGATGCAACTTTTTTTGTGCTTCTGCACAATGGAAGGGAATGGAAAACAGGTTGCCATATATTAAGAAGTTTGTCAAGTGAATTATTCTTGGCTCAAACTAAAAAAAATTTGGCCAGGTTAAATTTTTGAATTTCTCCATAAATTTCGCACCAAATTTTACAAAATTTAATACTTAGTCATAATTTGAGCCGTAGAATCGAAATATGAAAAAAAAATGGTATGTTATTTCAGAAAAAAGTCCGATTTTGTGTCAAAATACCTATATTAGAACAAAGCTATGTATAAATTTAATATATATCCTAAGTTGCACCTTCGAGACATGGAAAACACAATTTGAATTTCGTCAATCGACCCAGTAGAACAGGAGATATAGAACTGTCTCCTCCTCTTTTTTTTGCTCTGTGTACAATTCAAAGCAACTTCATTGTGCATGAGTATTTTAGTGTGTTTTATTACAATATGTGTAAAATCTGTTTAAAATATAGTATGCAGCTTTATATGAGTTTTATCAGGAAACGTAAAAAACATCAGTTAGTGTAATCTGTTATTTATTGTGAGTTAACTAATATGATGTTATGTATTTTAGAAAATGTTAATGAATACTTAAAACTTGCTACAAATGCCGACAAGCAACAACTTCAAAGAATTAAAAGTGTTTTTGAAAAGAAAAATCAGAAGTCTGCTCAGCTTATTACTCAACTACAGAAGAAACTGGAAAATTACAACAAAAGAATTCGAGAGTTAGAAACACATGGTTTACCTCGGGGAGTTTTGAGAGACATGGGTCAGGGTCTAAAGTATGTTATAATTTTTCATATTAAAATTTTTTAAATGAAAGAAGTTTTTTTAAATTCAGTAGCAGTGAATGAAGTCTTCTAAGAATAAAAGATAAACATTAGTATCTCAGTTAGTAATATTACAATACTGTATTAACTATAAATGCATGTGAAGTTTAAATATACAATTTATAGTAAAATATTGAGAAACTGAATCAAAGAATAACTGATTATTGTTCAAGAATAAAAGTTTTCCAAGAGAATAAAGTCAGATAAATGAACTTATTTACTTAAAAACTGAGTACAGTTTTTAAATTTAATAGGAATATTTTAACTCCTAATTCAGGTAACACAATGGGATTTCATATTATGAATTAGAATGTTAATTAAAGATGAGATAATGAGTCCTAGATCCTTTCTTTCTAAATATATATATGTGTGTGTATGGAATGATTTGGATGTTGCAGGCGGACAGTAAATAACTATTATTAATTCAGTAGACAGACTTTTCGTTGAAGCAGGGGGAAATGGTTTCCCATAAGGCATTGATCCTGCTGACTTAAATGTAAAAATCTTGAAGAGAAGTTGGAGATACTTGCAATCATAGCTAGCAAAATAGTTCTTTTATTTATTTATTTATTTGATGAAACAGTGCTTTTGTTAACATTTATATGACACAGATAAAATTGTAGACAGAAATAAAACTGACATTAAACATGCTTGTTCCTTAATGCATTTTTTTTTTTTTTTTTTTTTTTTTTAATCTAAAGAAATTGCAGCTGTGGAAAGTAAACTGGTAAGCCACTGAAATGACAGAAGGAATAGGACATACAGAACCTAAAAAATCTGGTTCAAAATGATTTAGTTTTGGTTCAGTCTTATACCTGTTGATTAATTTAAAATTTTTGTTCCCAAATTTGAAATTATTTTGGATGAAGCATCATTTAAGTATCTACATCTTTAGCATTATGAAAGAATCTTCTGAGAAGCTGGAGCTTTAAAATTGAAATGATGTGGACAAAAAAATGAACCAAATCAAAATGGAAAGTTAAGGAACATTTGCATATTAAAGTTAGAATTTTGATTACATGTTTTATATCATATATATACATTTATATATATATTTGTATTATTCTCCCTTTGTATTATCCCAATTCCTGTTTATGATTAGTATAAATAAGTACTTCTGGTTAATGGAAAGTACAAAAAACGTTTAAAATATTTTTATCTAAATCAATATATATATAATTTGTATATTTTGTATTTAATAGTAAATTAATGTAACTAGCTGACACTGCTTTGCTTTTATTAACAAAAGGCCATTTAATCACAAATATTGCTGATTCTAGGTGAAGATTTTTGACTGTTCTTACTATTTTCTATTTCCCTGACTTTCAGCTAGAGGATATTATAATTTTTTAATTTTGATTTATTTGTTTAAATTTAAGGTAATTTATTTACATAATAGCCAGAAATAAGATAAAAGTGTTCACCTAACACCCTCACACTTACAATTTGGAATTTCTTAGTCTACAGCCAATTGATAGGCTTCTTTTGAATTAATTTTTGCTGTTCCTGTATATGTAAACAGTTTTAAGATTCTCTCCCAACTCTTTATGATAAACCTGTGTCACTCAAGCATCAGTTTCAGTGAAGATTTATTTTGACTAAAAGATTTCAAAACTGCATTCGTGAGATTTAAACTGTAAGTTAAGATTAAAATTATATTTTGGGTCTTTATATTATATGCATGCAGTTAGAAACTTATAATTGTATACCACTTTATTTGTATCATATTCTTACCTTTTCTTATATGCATTGCAATTTTTGATTGATTCTTCTAAATTTCTCTCAGTTTTTATAACAATCTTTTTGTACATACGTTCTTTTTTTGATCATGTCAGGAAATTACTTTTATGTTTGAATAATACTGATATATATCCAAATTTTAAAAGAATAAAAGTAAAGTTAAATTAAATTTGAATAATCCTCTTTCGCCATTGCTGTAAGGAATGAAATTTGAATTTAACAAATGTTCTCTATTCGTTTAATTTTAAGTTAATCAAATTTTAAATAATGGAATTTAATTGAAAACAGATAAATGATTAATTATTGCTGTAATTTTTAATTTTATTTTTTTAAAATTTGAATTATCATTTATTCATCATTATAAATCCAAATTTTATATATTAGTTTTTTACAATTAAAAGCATTCATTCAAAGGAGATGAAATATGATCATGCCCAAATTATAGCGGATTTTTTGCTTATTTTCCTTGATATGTCAGCAGTCTTTTGGGAAATTGACATTAATTTACTGGCTTTTATATATATGTCATTTTACCATATTTTTTAATGTATGTACTCTTCTTTTTTTTAAATTTTAAAATGTAAGTTTTTGAAGCAATACCAATGCAGATTTTAACCTAAGGGTAGGGATGCCTTCATGGATGGCATTTTAAGAGAGACTGACTTGTATCAGGAAAGTCACAAAAACGTCCATTCAGCACCCATGCAAAAATACCCCTTTTGCATGGAATTGAGCCCAGATAGTACCAGTATTCAGTAACTTTACCTAAAAGGGTACATAATGGATCATCCAGAAAGTTTTGTTAATTTTTGAGGATAAATACAAATGAAGCAGTAAAAAAACATAAGAAAATTTCATTGAATCATATATACACTATCTTATTCTGTGAGTTTTTGTTGTTTCTGAAACAGCTGGGAAATTCATTTTTTTTTTAAATTATTAGTCTCATTTTTAAAAGAAGTTATTGACTGTTGTTTGTCAGTCTCCAAAAAAGTGAACTCCAGGCCATTCAGCGAATTCTAAAAATTCTGAAGTGAGCTTAAGAGATGAGAATGTCTGATGATTATGGAATTGTGAGACAAAACATCCTTGCCATATCTGAAAAGTCTATTGTCGCGATGTAAGACAGCTTCTTGACAACTGGTCAGTTCGACACTTCCTGCTTTTAAAACTGCTATTTGAAAAGAGTTTTCCTTAAATTTACTTTCTAATTTGGTGCCACTAATTCATAATATATAGTTTCATTGTAGCCCCACCATACAAAAAGCATTACTTTTTTGGGACGCAGACCTTCTTTCAGTGTGACTAAAGGGCTTAGATTTAATCCATGATCATTTTCTTATAATATTACTGCATAATATTCACTTCTTGTCACCAGTAATGAGCCGTTTAAAAAAAAAAAAAAAAAAATCTGATGTGTACACCACATGACTTCCTTGTACAGAATATTACATTATATGCATTTTTTCTTGCATTTCATTTAAACTTATTGGATTGAATTAAATCTATTTCATCGATAGTGCATAAACCACAACAGAATAAATGCACTTTTTAAAATTTACTATATTTGTTTAGGCACTAGGTTCACTTAATAGCATTATATTTCATTCATATTGTAACTCAGAAGGCACAAAATCTGTATCATTTGAAAAATTATCTAATCGTTGCCACATGTTCTATTCAAATACTATAATAAATCTAGAACAATGTACAGAAGAAATTAAGCAAACAAAACAAAAAAGAAATAGTTTTTTACACACGATTCAGTATTTCTCATTCAGTGGCCTGGAGTTCACTATTTTTTCTCTGAATGGCAGATTAATTCAGTTCTAACTTCGCGACAAGGCGAAAATATGTAAAAACTCAAAATATCTATATTAAAAATTATGAAGTAAATCCTAAACACTTATTTCCTCAAAAAAATTCCAGAAAGGATTAAGCATGATTTAATTCGCAATAATAAATGAAACCGTTATCTATGTTGTTGCGAAGCTTAGTCTCTCCAGATAGGCAACAAATCAATTATTCTATTGTTTCAAATGTAAACAAACATGTCTGCCATGTTATTTAAATATTATGCTTAACCGCTTTTAAACAGATTTTAATTTGTTGATAATTCTACAAATATTTCTTGCAGATTTCCTAAAGCATAAAAACCTTAACCGGAAGATAAGAACAACATAATTCAATTATTTTTAAAGAAAAAAATTTACAAACATATAAAAGTAAAGAAACTTAGATCACTGAGCCGGGTAACAGAATGGATATATATATAAATATATTTATATACGTTTAGTGCAGCTGATTGCAACCAAAATATGAGGTGCACATCTGCATGTTATAGCAGTTGTATATACAAAATTTCAACGTTCTGCTACTCATTTTTGAGTTATGCGAGATACATACGTATGTACGTATGTGTACAGACACCAGGAAAAATTCTGTTCAGAATTCATTTTAAAGCAGTTTTATATTTTTTTTCGAGGAAAAGAGTGTTTTATTCTGTCCTTATGTACAGATGTCGTGGAAAAACACTGTTAAATTGCATTTGATAGCCATCAAAATGGATATTTTCATTGAAATATGCTGCCTAAAACTTTTCATGATTACAATACTTCCTTTTTACCTTGTGCAAGGAAGTAAAAAAGAGCTTCGTTATTTCTTTTCAACAAAGAATCACATGTCAAAGCAAGCATATTATGCTTCGTTAAAGTACGGGTAGCCATACTTCATAGCAGCTTGCATTCTCACTCTTCTTCAAATGATCATGTACTGTACTTTTTGGAATATTTAGTCTGTCTGATAATTCCAAACTCTAACATGGATTTTCAGCTACTGCTTCTTTTAATGAGCCTTTGTTTACAAGAGATGGTCAGTCAGAGTGAGCATAATCTATGAGGTTGAAATTTCCTCTCATAAACTTCTCAAATCACTTGCAAACTGTAACATCAGAATAGCACTTCATCTATATTCAGCCTAAATTTTTTGAGAAAAATGACTAGCATTTTGCCCTTTTCTAAAATAAAAAAGAAATAAAAATATAAAGATAGTTTGGCAAAATATTTCAGTGCAGAGCTAAGAATAGCATTGCACTGAAAAAAGGTATTAATGCAACCACCTTGGTGAAATTTGGTGATTTTTTTAAAAATGAAAAGGTAAAAGTTACTTATTGATTGCAAGTTAGTGGTTTTAACGAACTTTAAAAAAAAAAA